TCTACCTTATGATTCTTGACTCTTGACGAATGTATCTTTATCTTATCTTAATTTGATTTTTTTTATTTTTTATTTTATTTTGATCTGTCAATTGCTTACAAGATAATAGATATAAGTATAAACATAGTTATGAATACATGGATACATATAAGAAAAATAAAAGAAACCATAGGACAGGGACGGTAGGCACGTTGGTGCGCTTATGCACGCCCTCTACAGACCTCTTAGGAAAGGGGTGAGGTCATTAGGAGACAGTCTAAGGTTAAAGTTTTTGGGGTTTGGGGAAGAAACCACAGAGTCAGGTAGAGTATTCCAGACATTGACCACTCTGTTGCTGAAGTGGTATTTCCTGTAATCAAGTTTGGTGCAGTTAACCTTGAGTTTGTATCTATTGTGTGCTCTTGTTATGGTTGAAGCTGAAGTATTCATTGACAGGTAGGACATTGCAATGTATGATTTTATATACTATACTTAGATCAGACCGAAGGCGGGGTAGTTTTAGGTTTTCTAGGTCTAGAATTTCGAGTCTGGTGGCATAAGGTATTCTGCAACGAGTAGAGGAGTGGATAACTCTTCTTGTGAAATATTTCTGGAATTTCTCAACTGTGTTAATATCAGATACGTAATGTGGGTTCCAGACTGATGAGCTGTATTCGAGTATTGGTCTAGCAAATGTTTTGTATGCTCTAGTTAGTAGTGTAATATTACCAGAGAAAAAGCTATGTAAGATTAGGTTAACAAACCTTGATGCCTTTTTGGCTATGTAGTTACAGTGGGCTCTAGCACTTAGGTCATTTGAGATGAGTACTCCAAGATCCTTGACAGAGTTTGGATCATCAGCAAGGTCTTGACTATTCAGCCTGTATTTTATTTTCTGATTTTTTTTGCCAATATGTAAGACAGAGCATTTATTTGTTGAGATTTGAAGTTGCCATTTGTTTGACCATTCTGACACATCGTCGAGGTCTTTTTGAAGGGTAGCAGTATTGTCTGTAGTGTTGAATAGCTTTACATCATCAGTAAAGAGAACGCAGTTGCTCTTAATATGATCACAGAGGTCATTTATGTAGAGTATGAAAAGAGTTGGTCCAAGAACACTGCCTTGGGGGACACCACTATTGACAGGCACAGAATTTGATAGGATGCTCCCAATTTTGACCATTTGTTGTCTGTTTGACAGGAATGCTTCTACCCAGTTATGCAGGTGTCCAGAGATACCATAAGATTTTAGTTTTAGGAGTAGTTTGCCATGTACCACTGAATCAAAGGCTTTACAGAAGTCTATGTAGATTACATCTATTGCTTTGCCCTGAACTGAAATGTTTTTTTTTTAAAAAATAGAACATTGTCTTCAAGTAGGAACCTATTAAAGACCTACATTTCTTTCTTTTTTTCCTACACCTGTTTCAGCATGACTGCAAAAGAGCACCTGCAAATAGATGCTCTTCCTGTTGGATTCAAGCACTTTTTTTTTTTTCATGACTACAGAGAGATGGTGCCACACCTATTTTAGCACTTCCAGACTTAAGAAGAAGTAGCATCACTAATTTTTCCTTTGTTTTTCTGGTTTTGGAACTCCAGGCTGCAGGTGGATCCAACAAAGATGCAATTATAAAAGGCCTAGTCTCATTGGTATGAATTGTCTCATTCATACCATCTTTCAGAAACATTTTTTTTTTTAAATCTAATTCAAGGGAGAGATATGTAAGCATTCCACCTGGTCTTTTGGCAATGCTAAAGCCTCTAGGACAGATCTATGTTAGTATTTTGTGCCAAATATGTTACCTCTCATACAAAAGGCAATATCTCTCTTGCTTTCCCTCTCTCTTAATTAAGATATTCATCTATTTGGAGACTTCAAAATGACTAGCATCAAATATTCACAAACACCAATTCAATGAGCGAACGTGATTTAAAATAGCATTAGAATTCTTCAAACGAGGTTTGGGGAATTTAAAGGGAAGTAATGGAAAGATGGCAGTGAAAAAAAATAACATTAGAATTCTTAAAATATTTGGGTTTTTTTGTTTTTAACCTATAAAGGGAGAAAAGTGGCTAACTGGAAAAAGAAAAGGAGAGAGGAATGCTTTTGTGAGCAGAATTAGAGATTTCTAGGACAGAATTCTGTGTCAAGATGATAACATTTTTAAAAAAGATTTGAGCACTGACACATACTTGAAAGACTCCAAAATCCCTGCTAGCTCTCACAGGTATATTCCCCATTGCTCTGGGGAAGGTATGCAATTCTTGAAAGAAAGAAGGGATATCAGTTGAAAGATCAATCAGATAAATCATATTGACAGGCTTGCTTATGATCTGAGCCAAATGACTCTATCATCAAGAGATCATTTTGGAAGGTGTCCTAAAAATCAATGTTTCAGATTTCAGGAACAGGAAAAGAAACATACAGTCTATCACAGGGGTGTCAAACTAAATTTTATTGAGGGCCGCATCAGGGCCGTGTTTGACCTTGGGGGCACAGAGTGGGCGTGGCCATGGTGGGTGTGGCCAGCTCAACATCACTCGTGTCGGGGGCACCTGTGGTGGCCAAGTACTAAGGCAGGATTTCCCTCAGAACCTCCTTCACTCTCATTATAATCTCCTTCCTTCCTTCCTTCCTTCCTTCCTTCCTTCCTTTTCTTTTTCTTTCCCTCTTCATTCTCCTTTATTCTTCCTTCCCTCTTTCCTTATTTTTTTCCTTCCTTGCTCTCTTCCCATCTTCTTCTTTGTCTTTGCTCTTTCCCTTTCTCCTTTCCTGTCCCTTCTTGCATGCTCAAATGCAAAAAGGGAAACATTTCTCCTTTTGTTTCGTTTTTAGTATGCTTTGCTAACACTGTGCCAGCGAAAATGGAGCTCAGGGAGGGTGCATGCAGCTGCCCCGGGCCCTGTTTTTGGCCACAATGGCCCCCTACAGCCCTCTGCCAGTGAAAACGGATTTTGGGGGGCTACACATGGCCCCTCTGAGCTCCGTTTTGCTGGCAGAGGGCTGCAGGAGATCATCATGGCCGGAAATGGGGCCCCAGGGACCACATGCGGGCCCTCTGGGCTCCATTTTTGCTGGCAGAGGCACTATGGGCCGGTCGTTTGCTGTTTCTGGGTCAGCCCCTTAGGCCATATCTAAGCACCTCATGGGCCACATCCAGCCCGCAGGCCTTGAGTTTGACATCCCTGGTCAAACATCTTTGGTGTGGTATAATCTTGTGACAATGTGATCCTATGCTATCTCAGTAAGAAAACACATGTGAATGTCAAGCAGCTCAGAAGCAGAAGCATATAAATAATGCTTGCCCGTAGGCAAGATCTGTTCATCCAAGTAAATGTTGAAAGGATGGCACAAAGGCCTTTTTGTGGAACCACAAAGCTGGAGAAGAGCAATTCTCAACTGTATCATGAAATCCATATATAAATACAACACTGCCTGAAAGAAATACACTTTGCAAAAAGAAAAGATGCTTTCAATGTCTCAATTCCACAATTAGAAGAAATCGGTAAGAATTCTGGCTTCTGAAGCTCACAGAATTATTATTTGTTGGCTTATTTATTAGGTGGATATCTCGCCTTTGGATCAGAAGCTCAAAATGGCCTCCAGAAAATAAGTCCTGGGCATTTGCTTTTGTATTTTTTGACAACACAACATGGATATGTCTTTTACCAAGGCGGGCAGCTATGATTATTTTATTATCTGTGGACTTCAACTCCCAGAATTCCTGAGCCAGCCACGAAAGTCATAAAGAGGCCAGAGTTGTCCACCATACAATACATGAGGTGTCTAGCTGGGGTTTGAAACTTTGCTTGATTGGTGTGATAATGGACAATGTTTGTTTGTTTTCTACATCCAGTTCAAACTGACATGGACAGTATTCTCTTCCTCCCAGTGTTTTGCCCTCAATTTTCATATGAGATAGGCTAGAGAAGAAAAGAATGATTGGATTAAAATCAGCCAAAGGGCTTCCATGGATGAAGGTGGACCAAATAATGAGCCACTAAACCAAACAGATTATGAATCTGGGTCTCTAGCAGAGGTGGTATTCAGTAGGTTCTGACCAGTTCTGGAGAACCGGTAGCGGAAATTTTGAGTAGTTCAGAGAACCTGTAGATGGTAGGACTAGAAGATTTTCATGGTCCCATCTAGCTATGTTATTCTGATACTCTGAAGGGAATTAAACTATATGCTGGTAGATCTCCATAAAGTGCTTTATTGGGATTATTGTGTGGAATGAGTTGAACAGAAAGAGCAGATCTGCTCTTGTAATTTTAAAGCATCAGGCAAGAAAACAAGAAATTGTGAATTCTTAGGCACAAAGCCAATTGGGTGGCCGTGGGCCAGTCCCTCTCTTCCAGTCCTAGGAAGAAAGCAATGGCAAACCACATCCCAAAAGCTTTGCCAAGGAAACTGCAGTCCAAGCAATCGCCAGGAGTCAAAAACTGACTCAAAGGCACATACCTACCCCACCCACCCACACAAATACTCCAAAAATTGAAACAGAACAACCTTTGGATATTAGGGATCCCTGCAGGCATACAAACATTTATATAGCATGTGGACCTGTTATAGAATTTCTGCTAGAGAGATTTTCCTGTGATAATACTGACTGTGATTTGTGAGCATGGCATATATGATGAAGCTGTTTTAGAAACCAATACTAAATGAAACCAAATACTTCCAGTCTTGCTTCATATTAACTGTAAAATTGTAATTTTAATAATAAAAACAAACAGTTCAATTTCATAGCTACTTCGCTGGTCTGGAGTGCTAGAAAAAGAACATAGCCAGCCACTGACATTCGTTAAAAAAGGCATTTTTTAGCACAGCTTTTAAGGTAATCTCTGACTTTTGTATACTTTTTTGCTTTATCACTGTCCTAAATTTTCATGATTCTGAGCAAATACTTTGTCAGCACTTATTTTATCTCGTCTTTGTCCTGTAAAATGTTCTTTGTAAGGATGGATTGATTGCTTAGCCAACCTTGCTACATTCTGCTGCTGATTAAAACCAGCACTCTTCTTGAGGTCCTCTGCTGACCCAATACTGTCATTTAGACAGCTTTGAAACCATGCCATTATTTCATTATACCTGTCAACCGTCCCACTGGATGAGACAGCAAAAAAAAAAAAAAAATGGGGCACCTTTTTTACCAAGAGTACAACTTTACTGAAAAAAAAAAAGCCATATGGCAGGGGTTGTTAAACTCGATTTCATTGAGTGCTGCATCAGAGTTGTGTTTGGGCATGGCCAACTCAACATCACTCATGTCAGGGACGCCTGTAGTGGCCGGAGCACTCTGCTAGTGAAAATGGGCTCTCAAGCTTTGTTTTCAGCTGCAATGACCTCCTGCAACCCTCTACTAGTAAAAGTGGAGCTCGAATGGGGCACGTGCCACCCTCCCAAGCTCTATTTTTACTGGCTGTGGCACTCCGGGCCAGTCCTTCGCTGTTTTCAGGGCAGCCCTGCGGGCCAGATCTGGCTTTGAGTTTGACACCTCTGTCATATGGGTACAGAAGTGGAAAAGCCAATTCTAACTATTTCACGTGCAAACAATAGAGGACCATGTTGTTATATAGCCTAAAGTGAAGTCACTCAGCCTATGATTCTTTTAGAAATTGGCAAAGGTGAAAGTTTCGCCTGTCTTGTCATTATCCAACTCTTGGGAGCAGTGCTCATCATTTCTTAGCTGAGGGAGCCAGCATTGCCCAAATATCCTTTTGTGGTCATGTGGCCAGCATGACTGCATGCCAGGATTCATGAAATGCTGTCACCTTCCACCGAAGTGGTACCTATTTATCTAATTGCATTTGCATGCTTTCAAACTACTAGATGGGCAGGAGGTGGGGCAAGTAATGGGAGCTCACATGGTGCTGGGTCTCGAACCCAGGCTATCAGCTTTCCAGCAGAATCTTTAATTGCCATCATTCCCTCCTTTTAGAAATAGTAAAGGGGAAAATGTCCCCCAGTCTAATTTGAATCCTGGTTATGCCTTAAAGATAATCATGATATATTCCTACCCCAGATATGGAAATGGCTTTCCATCGTTTTCAACAGAATTGATGTACTTCAGTTTTCAGACTAACTTATACCATTGCGATTTACTGTTGGTTCTGGTACAAGTACTAACAGGCTTAGCTTCTGAGTCAAGGGAGGCTACTACTTTCTAAGAATTCTTTAGGCTGCTCTTGCCTCTACTTGTTTCTACCCAATAAAGTTTAGATGACTTATTTTCTTGGACAGGGAATCAATTGGGGTTGTATAAAGTTACGAGCAAATCAAGGGAAGAGAGAAAAACAGATCTGCAGCTTATAAGGCTACAGTCATTCCTAACCAACCTACTGAATGTCAATGCACGTTAGAAATAAAATACTATTGCTTACTATAAACATTGTCTTTCTCCACACCTCCACACCCTGATTTCTTCCACTTGAATTGCAATCCCACTGCCCAAAACATTCAGATCCACAGCAATTTAATTTTGGGGAAGAGTAGCAGAGTGGAAGAGCTCATTTGTAGGAGATAACTGCTGATTGTCCAATCACCCTGAAGGTGGTTCCATCTAAATACCCCTCACATAATTCTATGTTCCAAGCAATGTTTACTATCAGTTCTGTGGGCGTGGCTTGATGGGCATGGTGTGGTTTGGTGGGCATGGCTTGGTGGGTGTGGCAGGAGAAGGATACTGCAAAATCTCCATGCAGGGCAACCAAAGAAGACCCAGTCAATCAGCTGGGACTCAGGAGGCAGAGAAGAGATGGGGGTAGGGCCAGTCAGAAGTGGTATTTGCCGGTTCTCCAAACTACTCAAAATTTCTGCTACTGGTTTTGCAGAAGTGGTCAGAGCCTGCTGAATACCACCTCTGATTGGGAAGAATCCTCTTGAAACCATAAACAGAAACCTTTGAGATTATGGGACACCAAATTATATGGTCCTCTCCTGATCCAAGATTTAAGGGAAAATTACAGGTCAAGGCAAAGATCCAAGAACATCAGAAGCATGGAAATCTTGGAATGCAAAACCTTGCAGGAAAATGTAAGATTATATCTGTAACTTCATACATTTTGTGTACTTTTCAACGATTACTCTTTCTCTCCCAGGCTTTCTCAAGGAATGGATTTCATTAATGACAACATAATTGCCTTTCGTTCCTTAGGCCTCTTGCTTGAAGTCTAATGTTCCAATTAGTTTCAAATAATTATTTGAGTCTCACTGTCTGTGCTGATTAGGCCTACCTGGGAATGAAAGTTTCTGGTGGGGGAGGTGTGGCTTCTTTGGTGAAGTGACAACTATGGGAATCCAGATTCTGACATTAACGGAATAATGAATGAATGAATTTATTGGCCAAGTGTGATTAGACACACAAGGAATTTGTCTTGCTGCATATGCTCCACACTTGACATACATTTGTTCAGAATCATAAATTACAACATTTAATATAATCATAGGTACAAATAGGCAATCAAATCATACTAGGAAACAGTCAATATAACAGAGTTGGAAAGGACCTTGGAAGTCTTCTAGTCCAACCCCCTCCACAAGGAGTAGGCCCTATACCAGTGATGGCTAACCTTTTCAGCTTGGTGTGTCGAAAATTGGGAAAAAGTGTACCCTTCCTCGGGTCGTGTGTCACTTCAAGAAATATCAATAATTTGGTTTATGACGGACTGGGCTGGGGTGATCACACAGGGCTGTGAAACTCGTCCCCCTGGTCTCAGGGCTGCAGGTGCAGGATGTGGGGATCGGAAGGCCACCTTACAGGGTTGTGAACCTCATGGATCTCCTTTCCTCCTGTAGCGTTCCTGAGGTAATGAAACTGACAAACCTCAGTTTATGGCGGTTAAAACTGGTTTTCTGCTGCAAAGATCTTGCGGCAGTGGTGACACCACGCCTCCACGCAACAAGCAGGGAGCAGGGATTGGAGCAGAGTACAGGCAGCCTCTAAATGTGCAGGTTTTCCCCACACCAACAGGCGTGTCAGTCAAAGTGCCTCGGCGTGTCACGAGTGACACGCGTGTCATAGGTTAGCCATCACTGCCCTATACCATTTCAAGCAAATGATTGTCCAATCTCTTCTTAGAAACATCCAGTGATGGCACACCCACAACTTCTGAAGGTAAACTGTTCCACTGATTAATTGCTGTCACTGTCAGGAAATTTCTCCTTAGTTCTAGGTTGAATCTCTCCTTGATTAGTTTCCATCCATTACATGTTGTCCTGCCTTCAGGTGTTTTTGGAGAATAGGTGGACCCCTTCTTCTTTGTGACAGTCCCTTAAATATTGGAAGACTGCTAATAACTCATGCCTGGTCCATCTCTTTGTTAGACAAGACATCCTTGCAGGATCCAATCTCAGTTTGTTCACCAGGACCAGATGTTTAGTCTTCTAAACTTTTAAACTCATGCTGGAGACCATCCTCAAGGAATTTCTCTCTAGCAGAGTGGGTACTAGAGAGAAGTTCTCTGAGGATGGCTTACAACAGGGCTGTCAAACTCCCGGCCTGTGGGCCAGATGCATCACACGCTGGCCATGCCCATGCTGTTGTGGCCCGCCAGTGGCCAGCAAAGCTGGCAGCAGATTTGGATAGTGAGGAGGTTGGGGAGGAACATGAGTCTGGGGAAGGCTCTGATGAGGGCTCTGCGTCGGAGGCAGAGATGGGGCCAGGGCCGTCTTGTAGTTATCAGCTGCCTTTGGAGTCGGACATCAATGAGGCAGAAGGACAGCTGGAGCCTGTTCCCAGTGTGCGCATGCACAGAGCTGCCAGAAGAAGGGAACAGCTAAGGAACAAGGGTTGACTTGTGAGTAAAGCCACAGATGGACAGTGAATGGCCCCTCCCATAGGGAATAAAAGAGGAGTAAAAAGGGGAATGGGGTTTTGCATGAAACAATTAGTTCATTTGAAGATCTGTTCCTGAATTCTTGCCTAGTATTGTCTGCTACAGTGAGGCTTCTGAAAGATATCAGCCTGGCACCTCTCCAAGTCTGATAAAGGTCTGTAATTGTGAAACATCTTGAAAGACTGATGGCTGGAACTTTGCTGGAGAGGAATTCACTGTATACTAAGTAAAAGGGGTTTATCAGGACGAGGAGTCAACTTTGTGCTGTTGGGGAAGCCTAAATCAGAACACACACCCAGTTTAGAGACAGGGGGGAAAGTCACAATACGCCAGGTAATGCCACCACGATGACGTGAGTTTGACAGCCCAGCCTACAGCTTGAATCCGAAAGTTCAGAAGACTGGTCCAGAGATAATCCGCCACATTATCCTTGGATATGTAATTTGGCCTTCATTCATAATCTGATCTCACTGATTACAAACCAGGCCTGGCCTGGCTTGCAACTATTAGCCTTCTTTCCTACTCAAACGGTCTAAGCATGTGATTAGCCTGCATGTGAACCAATAGCAATCGCGGTATCTGTGTTGCCTGGTAACAGGCAGGCCTCCTGGAAGCAATGTTTATTTCCTTGCGAAGCCCACTAAACTATATCACAGTTCCAAACAACCACTTTTGCGCAACCAAGTTTGTTTGCAAAACAACTGCATACAGATGGGGTTTTCACTGGGCCCTGAAGTGAAATTACTTGTCAGTAGTCACAGATGGCGATTACCCAAACTCAGTCCCTAACATTCACAGTGCTGACAGGCTAGACATTTTACTGATGGCAACAGCTGTCCAGCCAATTAGAGCCCAGTGTGGAATTAATCTACCCCACTGCTTTTATAACTTCTAAACAAACAAAAGATTTTGAACTTTCCTTGGTCTGACCAATCCAATTTGTGAGTGGGGGGCGCTGGGGGGTGTTAATAGTTAATAAATCACCTGTATTCAAGCTTTACCAGCAAAGCCAGAGGATTACAATGCGGATGGTTCGTTTTGATCAAGGATCATTGATATACATGACCATGTTGATCAACACAATATCAACAATAGAGACTACACTTCAATCTCCTTAGCGCAGGGGTGTCAAACTCAATTTCTTTCTTTTTTAAAAAAATAATTTTTATTCAATGTTTATGTAA